TAGCTGTTATCTGAATATGGCTTTCAAAACTCCTTTCTGCTCTCCTTGTAGTAATTTTTGTGTGTATCTTTCTTATGAAGTTGCCCTGTAAATTCTGTTAAGAACCAAGCCATATTACGGCATCTGCTACTTCTCTATGGTAATTAGTGTAGGACTCAGAAGATCTAGAGAAAACGCAAATTACTTGATGTTATTAGTTCTTAAGTAACACTGAAGATGTGTTATCTGTTAGCAAGCTTTTCCTGATAGTTTGTGCTGCTGTTTTTCTTAGGATTCAAGTTAAACATAGGATCTTTATAAACCTGACAGCTTGCTTCCTTCCCCATTCAGAACCTCGCATCTGCTATGAGGGGTAACCACGGGGGCCACAGGCTTCTGCGGATCTGATCAATGTCCTTCCATGGTCTAAAGTTCTGAACATACAGCTGAAAACATAGCTTGGAATGGAATTTCTCCAGCCTAAGCCCAACAACTGCAATCTTCTGAAAACTGAGACTTGTAGCTATGACATTCAGGGTTTTCTCATGGGGAAAAAAATCTGTAGTAAATACAGACACAAAGTACATATATATATTAAAAAAAAAAGTCGTCTGTCGTGGTTGAAGCTTGCAAATTTGTACAGAGTTGAAAACATGAGCTTTGTAAAAAGCAGCATGGAACAATCTGTTGTTAGTATCGCTGATAGTATTGCAGAGAAAAGACTAAAGCATGAAGAGTGAGAAGGTTATGAGATTCCTTGGTAATATTTGAGGCACTGCATTGAGAAGGATTACCCTCTTGGGATCTAAGTGTGGTATAACAGTTTATGGGGTAAGATGCTGGGCTACAACCTAAAGATAATAACCTAAAAGAGGGGGAGGAGGTTGGTTTTGCAGGAATTTGCTCTTTTTACCGTAAACTCTTGTTTTGCTATAGTTACACAACTGCAGAAGGCTACAGATCTCGTTCCCTTGCCCATGGTACCTGTGTGGTACACACACACACCCAATTAAAATTCTTTCATTTTGACCTAAGGTGTTGTTTGCCGCAATGGATCATAGCTGAGTTCTGAACTGAATCTAAAAATGCTTGAACTTGCTCTGACTTCCAGGAGAAACTCCAGGTTTTCATCAGAATGAAGTATATTTTCATAACAGCAATCTGCATAGTTCAAAAACCTTCAAGGCAGTCTAGTGCGTTAGAGAATATTTTGTGACTTACAGTCGGCATGTTCTTCTCCTGCAGTATAAGCTAACTGTTTTGAGACAAAAATGTTTTACTTGAAAACAAATCCTCTAATTGAAGCTGTTTTGTTTTGTACCATGAGAGTTAATTTCACTGAGATGTAATTAGCAGAAGTTCTGGGTTCTGCACCTAGTGAAAATACTACCTGAAGAGATAGGTGCAGTTTGCCTTCTTTGTACATGGGTCATTTGTGTTTTGTAGCAGCCTGAAAGTGCTGGAAATACTGCTACACACTCTTATCAAATACTAATTTTCTGTGTAGCTAGTTGGTACACTTAGGGGATAAGCTCTTCTACTGGTAATCGAGGATTACTGACTTCTAGAAACTAGCTGAATTTTCTTTAAAAATTGTCAGTATGGCTACTTCTGTCTGCAGAATAGCTCCAAAACATGGAAACCTTTTCATTTTGCTTTCCTTTTGTATTGCAACAAGCTACTATTTGTAGTTATGGTCTTTTCATGGAGTTCCTTTAATATACTGTACGCTGCTGAGTATCTTCAGGTTTAAGTGCTTGTCACCCGATCGGATGTGAGGCTTAAAACACTTCATAGGTAATGTGGAAGAACAGATCAAAAAGGGAAGGGGAGTGGGGAGAGTGTCCAGTCTTTTTATCCAGCTCTAGCGAGCGCATGCGCAGAAAGAATTTAACTTACTGTACTGCATTAAAATCCAGAGGTGCGAAGGTAAGTGACCATTTTTCTCAGCTTTACCATCACGTTCCTTTCAAAACATGAGTGCTGCTTCTCACTCCCACTTGTACAACTTGACTAGCGGGGCCAGCAAAGGCACAAATGAAAATCCGAAATAGATACTCGTGTTTTAAACCTCTGTCAGGGGAGTTCTCAACAAAACAAGTGCTTTCTCCGTTCACTTGGCAGCCGATGTCTCTCTGTTGGCTCAACCTGCCAAGCGCACTTTCCAGTTGATTAACCAAAGGGTTGTGGATACCTGTAGATGGGATGATCAGGAGAACATCCACTGGGCAATCTTTACACCTTGGGTTTCCATCCCAGGGGTCATGGAGCTGCTGCCAGAACATTTAATAGGGTAAAGAGGACTTCTTCATGTTTTTTATGAAGCTTATCTGATCTGTGTTTTGTCTAAGCTTCAATAAATGCTGATGAGTGATGTCCAGCATTTGCTAAAGTTGTAGTTTTAGTGTGAGCTTTGTGGAATTATAAGTAGAATCATATATTTTGGCTAAAACTATATGTCTGTTTTTTAGGTTGATGGTTGGACAAGATGATCTGAAAGGTCCATTCCAACCCAGGCAATTCTATGATTCTCATGTCTTAAGTTTTGAAGTTAATTGAATATCATTATCACTAAACACTATTTTTTGTAATGCCAATTGAAACTATTTTTTAAAATGCTGGTTTATTCGTATAAAGATCTTTAATATTTTTGTCTGGGATTGAGATTAACTGGACAAACTACATCTGAACTATCAATCCTAAATTTAGTTTGTATAAAAATTTTTTGATGTGTCTTGTTTGCAAAACAGTTTCTTGTCTAAAATGGGAGCTTTTTTTCCCTACCTTTAGAATGTCTTGATCTACAGTTTAGGCAAGGCTTGGTCCAGTTCAAACTGCTTTAGAATCTGTTTGTTTACACTAATCTTCAGAGATTATAATTTAAAAAGCCGTGTTAAAAAGTGGTTGCGGGTTACAACTTTTAGACTTTCCCAAAAGGGTATTTCCCCTGTTTGGGGAGAACTTCACTGACACTGCGTATTCCATGTGACCACGGCAAAAAATGCTGGGGTGATTTGCAGCTCCAGTTGATGGGTGGAATGCGCTGCATCTATTGTTCGCTCTCCAGCTGGAGCAAGAGCAGGAGTTGTTTTTCTCTGCTGAGGTTGTCCAAGCCAGACCTGCTGTGCTGCTGTATCCGTCTTGAGTAGTTAAAGGTGATAGTCTTGGCAGAATTCCCACCCTTTTAGTAGCTGTGGGGGAGCTGAGATGTGGGAGACCATAACTTACGTGGTTGGTTTTGCTTTTAAATTCTTAAGACGACTGCAGGCAGTATATCTCTAGAAGCCTGTAAAGTTCACTGTGTTCAGCTTTCCTGTTTGATTCAGAGTCTTTTGGAAGTAGAAGTGCTCTCCCTGGTTAATTCCTTACTGTGGAGATGAAACACTGTGTATGTGCTTGTGTGTGTGTGATAGTAGTGAGGGCAAGATTGTTCACATCTAGCCCATAAATACAGCAGGGTCACTCACCCACGTATGGGTGCTTCTGTGCTGTTGCAGAAGAGATCGTCATCTCTCTCTTTTTTTTTTCTTTTCTCCTCCTTCAGCTTAAAATTTGGATGCTGAACGCTTCACGGTTTCATTGTGAAACTCCATAGATCTGCTCGTTGTCTCAAATTCAGTCTTGGCCCATGTTGTGCTTCAACGTGTTGTCTTTTTAAATTTCTTACGTCTGATAACGTGCTATTAGAGGGGCAAGTAGTAATGCTTTTCTGATGTTGCCTGATAACTAGAGAACAGGGCTTTTAGGGACTTGATTTTGGTTGATTGATTTGCTGTGAAATATTAGATAAGAATATATCAAAAGTAGTGTAACAATAGATTACCTATGAAATCATGCAAGTAGGTTTGAAAGCTGTTAGAGCTACAATGAATGTCAGATTAAAAAAAGAAAGCTTGCAAAGGTTTCCCCAGTGTTGATATTTGGGCAGTGTGGCTGTTTGTTTGAACTGGGACTTCCTTCTGACTTAAAAACAATAGAAAATGACTCTTAATCTAAAAGACTTTGCTTCCTATCTTAGATATAATCCCCTTGATAACAAAACAAAGAGAACGGGATGTATAATAAAAACAAGGCAAATTTCAGAGTTCTGGGATTCCCTGCCTGTGGAAGGAACTAAGGTTTTGTTTGAACTAAAGAGTTCAATATTGCAGTACTGTTAAAAACGAGAAAAGTTGGGGCAGACCAATGGTCAACGTGGTCCCAAACTCTGTCCTGGAGAGCAGCAGTAGGAGAAGCTGCTTGGAAGAAACTCCCTGCAGGCACTTAGTGATTCCTTTTCCTGGACCCTGGGATCCATTGTCTTGATGTGAAACATTTTGGAACATGCCCGTCGATTCCATTCATTTATTTATTTATTTTAAGAACCTATTATCCACGAATTCTTCTAATCCCTTTTTAGCTTGGCGATGTTATCTGTCTCCGTAACTTCCCGTAGCAACAAAGAAATCCACTCTCCTTGTACATAACTTTAACCTTTAGGGTGGTAGGGATTGACGTTAAGTCAAATCAAAAGCTCAGATTTGGCCCCTGGCTTCACTTTTTCCCCCCTCACTGTGGGTTCTGCTGCTGTTAAGCAGCCTGTCTGATGGTGTGTCGTAGGGTATAGTGAATATTTTTCTTTGCAGGTAAAATGGAAAGGAGGAGCAATCGCCTTGCTTGGGCTGCTGTAAGGCCAAAAGGGCACTGTTAATTTCCCTCGGTGTGGATTAAGTGGATATGCAGATGAAGAAGTTTTGACTATCCAAATAGCACCTTCCATTTTATTCCTTTTAGCAAATAAAGGTCTGCGCTAGCAAGGAAAGATCTTTCTAAACATTTTGACAACTTTTTGACAGGTTACTTTAGTGATTGCTCTAGCAGTTTGTAATCTTTTTATGAAACTTGTTTCTATAAAAGTATTCTTTGTGTATGTAGCAGAGAGGCAGTACATGTGGCATAATTTTTATGGCTGGAGGGAAGAGCTGGAAACTTGTACAGCTCCTGTGTACCATTTACAGTGTACAAGAGCGGGGCTTCCTTAGCTGTTGCTTCAGGCCATGATCCTGCTGCTGTTCCTCCTTCTTTATTCATACCACAGGTCAGTGTAGTTTTGCTTGGTTTTCTTTTTTTTTTATATATATTTTTAAAACTATACCTAATTATCTGTCTATAGAGCAAATCACAGAAAACTGAAGTAGAAATCCTACAATACAGAAAAATACATAATTTACAAGCTTAGACCTGCGATCCAGAAGTGTTAGTACTAAGTCTTTTTCAGCTTTAAATTCACAGGTCCCTTGTAGGTCAGGAGAAAAGTCAGTTGATTTTTATGGTGTAGTAGTATCGCTTGACTCTTCCACATTCCTTTCCTCTATCTCCTTGTTATGAGAGTTGTAAAACCAAACTGGAGAAAACACGGTGACCTCAGAAGATAGTTATGGTGGCAGCACTTTATATAGTGTGACTTTGATAAAAGGGTTTTACTTGACACTTGAGATTTTCAGTGTAAGTATTTATTGCCTGGAAAAACCCCACCATCTATAGTATCACAGTTAAAATCTAGTGAAATGCTTGAAATTACTCCCTTTTTAAGTTCTATGCTGGCTGTTACATTCTTGTTGCTTGTACTTGTGGGTTGGCATAGTTTGTATATCACGAATGTTAGGGTTACTCTGGGAATTTTAACATACAAATTTCTGGATGTTCTAAGTTTTAATCTGACTCTAAGGTTTTGGTCTTGGTTTCTCTCTTATATCCTCCATTATCATGACCAGGACTAATACTGCAGTGATGGAAGGTGGTAATTTGGTGGGCTTTGGGTATTGAAGAAGTTAACGTTCTAATGCTGAAGTACAGGCAAGAAAATTCTGAGTAACTCTTCCTGCTTTGTTCCGGAGAATCTGAAATGCTATTTATAAAGTTCACATCTAGTATGTACTTACTCAGAAGGTGCATTTACTTACAGCACAATTCTTATTTTTTTGTCTCACGTTTGCTGGCTGTAAAGAATGAACGTAGCCGTATGTAAGAAAACGTAGTTGTGTCCTAGTTCATTCAAAATTCAATTACGTTTCCATGTCAGGACCAAAAGCTGTCTTTATTTACACTTGTAAAGCTCCCGTTGAAAGAAGAGCAGTTATATAATTTAAATTTAGGGCAAACTAGGTTCTTTTGGATGGTTTGGAACAGCGAATGGTGCAGAAAAGGCCTTGCTTGTCTTGTATGTTAAAATTAAGAAGAGGTGGCTCATGAGAATATATGCTGACCACAATGAGATGCCTTTATGAATAACTTGTGTAGAACTCTATTTTAAGGTGCAAAACATTTTTTAATACATAAAAGGTCTGTCTTTTCATTACTTTAAAAACTGTTGTGAACAATGAATTATCTCTTTGATCTAATTAAGATGCCAAACCTTGCATTCAACTATTTTGTTTCTCTGCAGTATTTTTGCAGCCAGCCAGCTGCAAAAATTAAAGTGTACTTAGGTTTTCTGCATGTAACTTCTTTTCATGTGCTTTTTCATCCTGGAAATCAAACTTCTTGACTGAAAAAGTGTTCAAGGCTTGGTTGGGTTTTTTGGTTTGGTTTTTTAATAAATGAATGAAGGAGCTTTAAATGTTCTGATTGTTTTCATAGAAATGTACTATAACAAAAAATCATGCAATAAATCAGAATTCCTACTGAAATTGTAGTGACAACAGATTGGTAATGAAAATCTGTTTATAGCAACTTGCTATTATAATTGAATCATTTGGTTTTGCTTTTATCACTGGAGTACCCCAAATTGCATGTTGATGAAGAATGGACATGATTCTGGTTGGTGTCGCCCCATAAATCTCGTGGAGAACAGCATTTCTTGGTTGTTGTGATTCTGTATTGGTGTCGAGGAAAACTTTAGGTGGATTCTGCAATAATTCCCTATATAAGTAGACACCATTTAAAGAGATATGAAATGTGGTACAATGATAGAAGTCAGTGCTTTGGCTTCTAATCATAAAGAAGCTTCAGAAACATCAGAAACTCTTTAAAATAGAATACTTCATGGAAAATTATTTTAAACAGCCTCAGAATCAAGAATGTGGGGCTTTGTAAGGCAGTTCTTTTTCCTGCCAAAGCTGTATAGTTTTAAAGACTAGAGACTGCTTTAGAATAACAAGTGATGTTGTGATTTCAAAAAGTATTTGAAGTACTTCTAAAAGTTTGTGGATAGATGCTTTTCTTTATTTCTTAAAGATTTAGTTTTCCATTACAGCTATGGTCATGCAAGCTCAGACAATGTATTCACAGAGTCGAATATTGCTGATATGTGCAAGTTTCAAGTCTGTCTAAGCTTCCATTAGCCATTATTTCTGAAAATGTGGCTTTATATACAAAAGGGGGAGTGTGGATAGCAACAACCAGATTCTGGGAGAAAGAACATCTACTCAAACTTTCCTACACATTTTTTTTCCTGTTGTCTTGCAGACAAACTCAGACCGATCTATTACAAAAAGCAGGAGAGAAGGTTCTGCATTTCCTTTTCCTCCTTTATATATATTTATGCACCAGGCATGAAAGGTCATTTATGGCTGCTGGACCTTTGAGCAATTTCAGAACCAACACCAAATGCCACAAACCTTTTTTCAGAAGAGCGAGTTAATAGTTATTCAACCTTCAGCAGTCAGTTGTTTGAATTTAATTATCAGAGTTGTCCCAAGGTGTTAGAATTAATCCGAATACTGTGGGAATTCAGATGTGAAGTGGTGCCTGGTTTCTCAGGGACATGGGTAAGATTGATGGCTTGAGTGTTTGCTGCTACTTATTGCTGTGGCAGTAGTAGCAGCTGGGAGTTATCATCTGGAGTTATTGATAACTGAAAAATTACAGTGAATTATGGACTGGGCCATCTGAGAGGCTGGTGCCTGTATGCTCTGCTGCAGAGACAGCAGAACCTCTGCAAAGGTGGCAGACAGATACTGAATCCCCATAGTTACAATTGCCAGGCATCTGCAGAGGTTTGGGCTGGCTGGCATCCTTGGGTTTCTACAACAATTCAAGTACAACAGAGTATTTTGAGCATTCTGGTAGCAAGGGTGACGGTGTATTACACGTGAGGAGAAGCCCTATGTGCTCAGGAACTTTGGAGCCATCTGTACTCCAGAACTTTTACAAGCAGCAGATAAAGAACCAGACTGTTTGAGGGGGAAAAACTTGAATTTTCTTATCAGCTGGAACAAGCAGTTTGAGTAACCACGATGGGATGAGGTTCACCAGGCACCTTTAGAGTCTGAAACAACTGAAACTAAAGTAGAATAGTACTAAAACCATAATGGTCAATTTTACTATATTAAAAATAATTGGGAACTGCAACTAAGAGTTTGGGCTATTTAGGGATCGGTTATTTCATTTTAAGGAAAATTATTGCTAAAAGCTAATGGGTTCTAGAAATTATAGAGGCAGATAACACTTGATGATGATTATTTGTCCTCACTCTTGTCCTTTTTGCCATTTCCCATCATTTGTGAGGGCCATCCATAAGGATATGTTGTAGTGCCACATGGAGCACCTCGAACGCCTCCTGTGAAGGTAAAGGAAGGATTTCTGTGTTGTTTCTTCCAAGAGGAGTTCACTTCTTTGTATGTAATTTTTGAAACTTGGAATGAGAAACTTTGTCTCTAAAACTTGTCTGAAATCTTTAGGACTAATGCTGCTTTTTGACCTTGAAAGCATACAATTTATTCTGTCCATTGGCATATGGGAAATGCTTAATTAGGACCATTATTATGCAAGTACTGCTCTCTTTTTGGGAGCAGAGGTTGGTTGTTCAGCAGCAGCCCTGAAAGTTTTTGGTGTATCTTGTGGGAGGTGTATCTAAGGAGGCAAAACATTCTGCTTTAACCATACAGAGCTCATTCTGTGAATTTGTTATCCTGGGACTCAGAATTAATCAGGTGCCAACTTATAATTTACCAGGAACATTTCTAGACACGGCTGCATTTGAGGGACTGTTTACCATGGGCAGATAAGCCAAATACAAATCAATTGGAGAAGGATGATAAGACCCAGGAACAACACTTTGAAGGATATAAAGCTGTGTCTCACTTCTGTTGATGAGCTATACTGAATTCAGGGTGTGCTTTTTGAGAAGACTTTTCCATTTCCTAAGCTACTGACACAAGTGTTAGTGTTTAGATCCGTGTTTGGTTCATTTCTTACATTTCACTTTGTCTCTCGAATGTTGAAGGAAGTAGGGATATTCTGGGCATCCAGATTTTTTACTGCCACAGGTATTGAGGGCTGTGATGCAGAGGCTTAAATGACATGGCACAGTGTTTTGGGTCACCAGCTGGTGCTGTAATTGCAAATTAGTTGAGCTGTAGCTTCAGAACCTAATAAAGTTATGCATGCTCCTCAGGTGTTTCTCAGACATGGGACCGGAGCCATGGCCTGGGAACACCTGAGCCAGATTAATTTGGCTGATTGATTCAAAGAATCACAGAATCGTGGGGGTTGGAAGGGACCTTCAGAGGTCATCTGGTCCAACCACCTGCCAGAGCAGGGTCACTCAGAGCAGGTTGGACAGGGCCATGTCCAGGTGGGTTTTAAATAACTCCAGAGAAGGAGACTCCACACCCTCTCTGGGCAGCCTCTTCCACGTCTCTGCCACCCTCAAAGTAAAGAAGTTTTTCCACATGTTGAGATGGAACTTCCTGTGTTCCAGTTTGTGCCTGTTGCCCCTTGTCCTGTCACTGGGCACCACTGAGAAGAGCCTGACCCCATCCTCTTGACACTCAACCAGTAGATACTGCTTAGCATTGATGAGGTCCCCTCTCAGTTTTCTCCAGGCTAAACAGCCCCAGGTATCTCAACCTTTCCTCATAAAAGAGGTGTTCCATCCCCTTGATCATCTTTGTAGCCCACGTCCTTCTCCTCAGGGCTGCTCTCAATCCATTATCTTGACGTGTCTTAAGTTTTTTCAGAATCTTCCATGAGGTTTCACAATATCTCTAAACAGTCTCGTCTAGTATTTCAGTGCTATTACTGCTTGGGGAATTTTCCTGTTGCTCATTCTTGTTTATGGAAGGTGTTGTTTGTACACTCCCAGATTTTTTTCAT